TAGTACAAGCGTAGCGCGTAGCCACCGCTAGCGCGCGAACTCGGCTGGCAAACTCGCGCTCTGATTGGTCGCAATTTTTCGTTAATATCTCGGTAACGAAGCCTCAGTTTACATTGTTGCTAAAGAAAAAGTTGTTCCAATTCATAATAATTAATAATAATAATTAATAATAATAATAAATAACATTAATAATAAATATACCAGTAACAACAAATGAATGAAGTGCACGTGCAATATATTTGCAAAATGTACTCTGCAGTATATGAAAGTAACATTTTACGCACATTATGTGTACAGTACCGGACAAATGTTTCGGACAAACACCTACTACGTAATCGACGCCTGTCTTGCCTAACTATTGTTTTCTTGGGTGGACCACACATCAATATATTTTCCAAGTCCCCGTTGATAAAGTTGTTTTTTTATTGAATATATCATCTATTTCGGGATGTCTACACATCATGAAGCTATTGATAGACATCTATGATTTCTTGTTTTATAATATCTGATAAAATTTCGCCTCGTGCCATCCTAGAATGTATAATATAAAGATGTATTATAATGTTCTTATGAAACTCATCTCTCAAATTACAATTTATGCTTGTAAATGAAACGTTCGAATCCTTTTGACTAGCAGGACTAGCTGAATATAGATAGAACTTATTTTATATTTTGTAATATACACTGACCGAAATTTCTACAAAGTCACCATGTTTTTTGATGAATTCTTATACTTATTCCATACCAATGAGAAATTTGTGTTTGGTATCATTTTGGGATCAATTAAAGAAACCGTACACATCGGTTTCAAAAAGTAAATGTAACATTGATTTAGAAAAAAAAACAAAATTGTAATTCAACAGAAAATAAACTGCGATATTTCTATAAACTCATTCGCTTTTTAGATAAGTAAAGTTGAAATTAACAATTTTGTTTCACTATTTCCATATTAATACTTATATAGTGTAACTTCTATTTTTTAATGAAAATACAAAAACAGATACGATGGAGCAATAAAATTGGTGGTAGTTGCACTAAGTATTAATATTGAAATAGTAATAAATAATTGTTAATGTCAACTTTACTTGTATAAAAAGCGAATAACTTTATAGAAATTTCGCAATTTGTTTTCTGTTAAATTACATTTTTCTTTTTTTTTTTTAAATAAATGTTATATTTATGTTTTGCAACCGATGTCTACGCTTTCTTTAATTAATTCTAAAGTGCTAGCATACAAAAATTTTTCATTGGTATAGAATAATTATAAGAAATCATGAAAGAAACATGGTGACTTTATTTTCGGCCAGTGTATAAGCATCTCCATATAACTTTTATAAAAGCCATCGTCGAACTGACAGTAAACACTTTGGGGCTGAACTTTTGTAGGATCACCATAACAACCAACAAAAAGAACAATGTTTCTGTACAAATTCATTTTTCCGGTACTGTATATTAATAAATACAGTCAAACCTTGGTTCACGAACACCTCGGATCATGAACAATTCGGGTTACGAACAAATTTTTCGAACACAAAACGTCTAGGATACGTACTGTGTCTCGAGTTACGAACACATAAGCCATCAACATTTAAAAAAAAACATTCAACATTTTAATACGTAAACAAAAACAAATCACACTGGACAACTTTTTAGTGAGACAGAGGTCCAATGGGTCTGAAGCAGAGTCGAGTGGTGCTAAGAGACAGAAAACAGAAAAAGACTCCCCTTCCAAGCAATAACATTTTACATCCTCACCACCTTCCACTTACGCCGTCAACTCTCCTACATACATGTACGGTAAAAGCTAAATCAACTGTTCGTCTATATTTGACCTGCGTAGTGTTGTGTTTATCTTTTTTCTGATATATTTAATGATTTCCATTGATTTTGTGTTAAGAACCTGTTGCACAAAGTACTGTTGTAAAAGTTTAAATAAGCAATCATCTAGGGTCCAGGAACGGATTAATCCATTTGACATTAATTTCTAGGGGGAAAATAGTTTGAATTTACGACCACTTCGGTTTACGAACGACCTTCAGGTACGAATTAAGTTCGTGAACCGAGGTTTGACTGTAGTATTAGAAAATTTTACTTTCCTATGTGATTAAGATTATGGGCTAGGTTTAAGACCTCAAAAGATAATTGTAAAGTATCTATGGTAAAAACTTCAGTAGGAATCACTAATGACCCGATATTAGCCCTCTTCGTCATTGACAGATGGTCGGCTGTTCAAGGGTTAAACCAGCGCTTTATTCTGTTTTCTGTAGAATTTCGAAACTTGTTCAATTTGCATTGAAATCAGTTCATGGAAATTCGTTATTGGCAGTGTAAGCTTATCGCACCTTTATTTAAAAAATACTTTACAATAACTTAATCCAATAACACTCGTGTGGCAATGAACTTGCTTCCTTTTGGGTGATGCAAAAGTTTTTATGGGTTTCATTATGAAAGAGTAAATTTTCTCATTTCCTAAAAATGATTTATGTAATCAATTATACAGGGTTTTGGAAACTGGGACAAACTGCAGCTCTGCTCGAAGTGAAGTAAAAAAAAATACATGAAATTTTGCACTGTTTAACAAGTTCTGTAATCTGACTGCATGATTATTTCACAAGTGCATCGATGCACTTACAAAATACAATTGCACTTTTTTTCAAACTGGAATGCAATCAAATTTTTGTATCGACATAATTTTTCGTTAAATGAAATTCGAATTCAGAAGGTATGAAGAAGTCATCTGAAAATCATCAAAAACCCCTAGGAATGACGAATTGTTATATCACTGATTAAGCTTGATATTTTTGGAAGTGTTTTATATAGCAATCTGGCTTTCTTGATTGTAGCTGTGTGTTTTAGTTTCTTACACCAAAGTAGGATAGAGAAACGATAATACGTGGTAAGCATACCTGGTGAATCTGCATGACCGTTCTCTCCATCAGCTGCAAGCTTAGCAAAGTCTAAAAAAATGGCCAAACGAAAAGATAAAAGCATGCGGTAAACAATACGGTATAATTACTGAGGGTCATTAATGTCTAAAAAAGACATAAAGAAAGTTATTCAACAACAGAGAAAAAAGTGATGGATAGATAACACACTAAATCTAGAATCCTCTAGTCAAATAACTGTTACAAATTAATAAACACAAAAGAAAACTTTAAACTACAAACGTTCAGTAGAATTCTACCCCTCAGTGGTAACATAAAGTTGCACTACGTAAACACGTAAAATACCATGCCAAATTTTAAATAATGTTTGTGTGGAAAATGTGAAAGATGTGCACGCAGTGCACGAAATATAAATGTAAAATGGAGTGCAACAAATAATTTTTGAATGGCGAAAACCAATCGCGATTGCATTTAAACCCAGCAGAGATACATGAAAATTTTGTTTACTAAGGTAATAAGGTGTCTACTACAATTCCTTCTTAAAAAGTATTCTATTTTATCATTCCATTATAATTTCTTAGAAACGAAAAAGTACTTTCTGAATTTCACGAACTATCGATAGGGGAGCTTCAAAGATTCTACTATTGGAAAATCCAATATAAAATTGGGATAAAAATACATAATTGTATTTTAATGATATTTCTAATACAAACTAATTCTATGATAGAATCTAGTGTCATAGAATTGTTAATATTACGATCACCGGTAATTTTTAATTGATCAAGGATTGACTCTAGATTGAGAAATTAACTTGAGGTATCGTCATTTTGAAAAATAGAACGAGGCTGAATGTACTGAATCGACAAATAATTAATAGATATAAGACAATTTAAAAAGGGTAATTAATCCAAAAAATGTATCACTTGAAAATTTCGTTTACAGGACTGCTCTGTTATTTATAACAGGAAAGATATACAGAATGGAAGATTTCAAGATTTTTTGTTTATTTTACCTGCAACTTCAACTACTACACAGGTCAATAAAATAAGATAAAGGAAGAAGAAATTAAAATAATAACGAGTTGGTTTCTGTAGTAGTTAACACTAGTAACAGTGGCTAACTTTTAAATTTCTTTAACTTTTTCATATCTTTTACTTTCTTTCACACTATTTTGGCAATATGTCAGTGAAAGTACATTTGTGTTAGTCCTCACTTTCGACTTGTAAATAATATTTAAAGGACGAGTTTATTGAATTCAAACACAGAAAAATGATTATAATAGACAATATTAGAAAACACTTCTGATTCCTGTAAAGGACAATTGTATCGTGAAATATGAATATACTGGTGACGGAAAGAGGATCTGAAAAACTAATACGAGTTTTAAGTGAATTCTCCCTTAATGTGGAAGATTGTGTAAAACATTTAATTTCCTTAAAATGAGTGATTAAGGACACAAGATAAATAGCAACTGTTACATACATTATACATTATATCAAAAACAGCTCGTTGAGGTCTGTTTTTCAGAGTTTCATACATTATTTTTCAAAGTTTTGTCTTCAAAGTATCGTGTGCAGTTCACGGATAGAACTTTGAACTCTTTCTTTATAGTAAATAACTTCTCTTTTCCGCTATATACAGTACTTGAGTGACTTTTATTACTTAAACTATTTATACCGGGTGTTCATGTTGTTATTAGCCGTCGTATTTTCTAGTTAACGGTACCTATACGGAATATACATATAGAAGAGGAAAATGTTTCATAGTCATTCATAAGCAACACGATAGGATTCATTTATTTTTAGATCTGCCACTAACTTCTGATAACGAAGGCCACTTTTAGTTTTTTTTATGAAAATCACGTTTTTTTATGTACTTCGAGATCATATATAGTCAGGAACGAAAGAAATAACTCGAGCACTTTATGGCACTCTGTGTCCTTGTATGTCTTATTGAGAAAGCATCATAGCGGATTTAATGTTACTTCTAATAGCAAGAATTAAGTTACAACTCTGTTTAGAACACTTTTAGTAACTACTACTAATTACATTTTCCGACATATTATGCTATATCGTTCAATTCATCTTTCAGCACTTCCATGTGATACAAAAGAACATAAATTCCCAGAAAAAAAAATTGAGGAAGACCTTTGTTGTTCAAAAACTATTGCCAATTAATTAAATAGATGTGGTCTGTCATGTTGCTTACAAAGAAGACTGGAACATTATCCTTTTACATTGTTTCTGTATACTTAACATTTACGAGAAAAATGCTAACTAATAACAACGTAAACATCCTGTATGTGACATGTAATTCGATTACCATTAACACGCTGACTGCCCAACGAAATTTTGTGCAAGATCTGCCAGAAAAGTAACGGGACTGGTAGCGCAGAAAATTGTATTGTCAAGTAATCTACAAATCAGCATTGTCGCCTTCAAAATAATTCCTTTGGAAACCCACAAACCACTGGAGAAATTGTTCCCACTTCCTGAAACAATGCTGGAAGTCTTCAACTGTTGCTACTTCCAGTTAGTCTGGCACAATCTATTGGATGTTGTCTACAGATCTAAAATAATGATCCTGAAGTGGGTTTTCACATGTTATGAGCAGCATACGAAAACAAAAACTCTATGACAAGAAAATAAATGACCATATGGCGCACAACATGTTAAGAGGGCTGCAGTACATGATTTAACCTTTTTGGCCAAAAATTCATTTACAGGAAGTACGGTTGGATATTGCATCATGACAACGCTCAGAGTCACACTAAGCTCTCTGTGAACAAGTTTTTGTCCAATAGGAGTATTCCTGTGACTCCACAGCCACCTTACATCTCTGATCTGAGTCCATGTGACTTCACCTTGTTCTCAAAACTCAAAACCCATCTCAAGGGTCGTCATTTTGGGTCTCTGGACAACATCCAATAGATTGCGACAGATCAACTGAGAACAGTTCCAGTTGAGGATTTTCCAGCATTGTTTCAGGAAGTAGGAACAATGTCTCTAGTATTGTGGCTTTCCAGGGAAACTATCTTGAAAGTGATAATGTTGATTTGTAGATAAATTGACAATCCAAATTTCTACGCTATCAGTCCCATTACCGTAATTAGGGGTAATTTTGTCCAAAGTCAGAAAACGAACATTCTCGATTTTGCAGCTCAGCAAATTGTTAAATTAAGTTGACTTTTAGATGAATAGGATTTTCACGTAAAAATACCCGCAGAAGAGCTGCAACGTCGAAAATGATCATTTTCTGACGTTGGGACAAAGTTACCCCTAACTGAATCAAGTTACCACAAATTACGGTACTTTTTGACAGACCTGGTACAGTGGACTCTAACTATATTGCCACTAAACATATTGCCACCTGATGCACTTCCCCTTCATACGTACTTTCGAGCACACAAATTCTCTCTCCCACCACCTTACGTACACCGATGAACTAGCACGATCCATCTTTTGCGCAGGCGCTGAGGCCGAGGCTACGACGACAGAACTTAGCATGAAGAGGACTCTGAACTCATTGCCATTTTACTCTCCTACAGCCCCGACCATGGCAATATAGTTAGAGTCCACTGTATTAGTAACATGAGCTTTGATTCGTCGAAAAGGTGTATTTCTTTCTCTGGTCCTCTTATCATCAATGTGTCGAGTACGAAATTTTCAAGAGACACCGTGGTACACAGCCATAAATAGTAGAGACACCCCATACGCACAACAAATAATACATGAAAAGCAGTGCTCCGTTTGGTTCCGATGTTTCAAATGTGCCCAGTCCCGTTCATTGCGAAACCAGAACAATAAAAATCAGGGTTCGGTTTCGGAGTCGCGGATAAATATGATCTGGCGTTCATTGCTCGTCATTACAGTTTCGATACTATACCTAAAGCGATCTGAGGAAGTTGCGGCCTAATTTCCACCGGTTTCAGGCCCGTTGCGAGTGGAGTACTGGGTCCGTTCACGAGGACAGATCCTAAATAGTTCAATAATTTTTGCGCACGGTTCCGACTCTGCTGGAACTGGAAGAGCTGAGGATTCTCGTCGATGAAATATGTGTCGACGTTTCCATTGAGGAACTTCTGATTCTCCAACACGTTCAACTTCGCGCAAGACGACTGCAAATCACCTGCATGGGCTATTACCTGAAAATAAGAGTGGGTACTAGTACCATTCTGTTCAGCTTTACTATGTCATGAGTAGAATTTCATCCCACAAATTTAATTAGCACGTTCGGTTTCGTATACGACAATATGTTAATTTATAGTTCGCAATCTTTTTATAGATCGTATCTAATGCATGAGTCTTTTTGCATTCGCTATCATGAATTTTTACTGTTTTACGAAAATAAGCAAAAACCGTAAATTTCGGTGGCCTGTATTTTTTAAACAAATTCGGGAACAGAAAAATGATGACTCACCCCCCCTCCCCCTACCTACCCTAATGTCACGTGAACTACAACATATTTCATTTTCATCAAAATCCCTAACAGCGAGTGCAAAAAGTGATCGATTTAGCGTGGAATGACCACGTATTGCATAAAGGTACTTATGTAGGAATTCAAATTGTATAAACCTCGCTTTACGGATACGGATTCATTTTAACCCATTAACAGGGATCATTACTGTATTTGTTATAAGGTAGGTATACAGAAATTACTAAGAAAAATCGAATGCTGGTGTTAAAGTATTGACACTATTTCGGTTACTCTTGAGGCTTTTGGGTGTAAATCATGTTCTTTTGGAAAAGTTGTCCCAAACGATAGTATGCGTGTTACTCTACTTTTGATAGAGCTATCTGCAGTGCTTGTGAAATCCTGGGATAATTTTTGCAAAAGGACAAAGCTTACAACCGAAGCCCCCTACAGTGATAAGTGTAAGATGCCTGGTTATGAGAGTCTCAAATCTTCAATTAATTGTGCTGTATATAAACTGTTGATATTAAATTAATCCAGAAAGGGTAAGGGGGTCAAAAGTGCCTTTAGACCGATTTTGACTTGTAATATACCATGTAATATACCAATTTAATTCCTTTAGTTTATATATTATTTTGCTGTATGTAGAAACACGTCAAATGATACAATATACTTATTTAATAAAGGAAATACAAAAATTCGAAGTATAAGTTATTTTTTCACGGAAAAAATTGGTTTTCGATTTTTTGAACTACGGCGCACTCTACCAAAAAATCATGATAATATGTTGCTACTGTGAAAGGATAAATGTAGTGCCGTTAAAACTTCGATAAGAAAAAAATATTTTTCATCATTTTTGATTTTTCACAGCCAGGATACTCAACTACAAAATCGCAAAAAAATCTCCAACGGACGCCCCGATAAATACTATCTATCAGATTTTTTATAGAATTTTTGCGCGTCATTAAAGAGGGAAAATAGAGAAAAAACCAGTAATCCGAATTTTCCCTATTACTACCCTCTTGATCGAGGTAGAGGGTTAAAACTTGGCACAGACTATTTTTTCTTGACAAGCTATCGAATGGTATATTACAAATCAAAATCGGTCTAAGGGCACTTTTGACCCCCTTATCCTGTTATACCCTTTCTACAACAGTAATACGATTAAAAATTAATACATTCGCTACTGTCATATTACTTGAAAAATGTTCGTCGCATACCACGCTAGATTTCTATCATTCAATTCACAAGGGAGCATCGGGGACTAATACAATCCAGTATCGATGAAACTTTGCATAAATATTTATCAGAGATATCTAAGAAGATAGCTGTAATTCGATCGTGCCCGTTTTTCGCTTTGAGGGCGATATCAGTCCTTTCTATACATATATGTACGTGCTTATAAGCCGTAAACAACAAAAGATATTAAAAAATGGTTGAAATAAAAATTATTGTTAAAAAATCATTCTTCTTGGAAAATTGAATTCCCCCACCCCCCCTCCTTTTGGAAGAACTTTATCTTTTTTAATGGATAAAAGCAGCTTTATAGATCTCAAGAGACGGTATAAATATATGGAATTGATGTTGGAATATATTTACTCTTGATTAGGTATTAAAAGGTCAGTGAAGAGATAATAAGTAATATAAAATACAGGTGAATATTGCAAAACATTCTGCTTCTATCCAATGAAGTATGCTGATTTTGGTTGATCTTTTAATACAGGGTGCCTCCGAAAGTTAGGTACAAGCAGAAATGAGGTGATTTCTCATAAAAAGATAAGAAAAAAATTATTTCATTTGTAGCTCGGTTTTTGAGAAAATCAGATTTGAAAATCTGCTCGATACTCGTGCAGTTGAACAGGACTTGGCTAGCGAGTCGACCATGACGAATACACACGTTCCAGATTAATTTGCAAAGTCAATGTTTTCGAAAACAAAGTCTCAAATAAAAAACTTTTTTTTCCATATTTTCGACTTTTTTCACGTAGAATTGCCTCATGCCCGCTTGTACGTAACTTTCGAAGGCACTCTGCATAATCTCTGAAAGTATAACCGTCACGTATAAAGTACGTCCGATTCAAGTGTATATCCGCAATTATTTCTCTAACTATTGAAAATGAGAAAAAATGTTTCACCCTGAAATTGTTCGATTTGATAGAGAAATCTTAATACAACATTTGAATTTTTTTTAAAGTGTTCTTTACAGAGATTTTATTATCAACGTAGTTTTTTTAAATGAACCTATACATATATTCCTATTATTGCCAGTTTATTACACATTTCAAAACCTGGGAAATGAAATTACTATCATTTTATGACAATATATTTATAATGATATTCCAATGACTTAAAAATTTTTTAATTCTTGGAGAGGAATATTCCTGTTTATCCCCCTCCAATCCCGCAGATAACACATTTTTTATGCGCCCATATAATACTACGTTGAAAACTAAGCAACTTTCGTCTGAATCATTTTTCATTACGACGATTAGTTTACACGTACCTAATCATGAAATATGTGTTTCTAGCACAAACCTCCAGGGGCTGTTCCGCCCCTTCAAACCATTTTCCAGCAAAATAAAAAAAAATACGTGATCAATAGTTTGTAATCCTCTACAAATTTATGCCAGTTTGAACGAAAAACAAGTATGGTGCTAGCGGCGAACTTTGGGGGCTGTTTCACCCTTCGAAATGTTTTTTATCAAAAACACAAAATACGTGTTCCATAGTTCTTAATTCTCAATAAAAATTCATGCCAGTTTGAAGGAAAACAAATTTTTGCTCTGGAGATGTTCCACTGTTAGAAACAATGGAGTTGAACCATGTGCAGTGTCGCCAATTTTTATTCTTAAATATACTTTTCCTTGCATGGAAATCCGAAATGTCACATTGAAAACGGGCGTCTACACTAGAATACCCCCTATACTAGATTAACGTTAACAATAAATGAACGTTTCTACTGTACCTTGACGAGAAGCGAATCATAATAAGGCGAAATTATCGCTCCAGCGAATGCAGATGCACTGTCCAATCGGATGCCCATACCTTCTCCGGAACGGAACACTTCGATCCTTCCAGTGTCTGGTTGGAAGTTCTTCGCAGGATCTTCTGTGGTTACACGACATTGTATAGCGTAACCATCAGGACGAATCTTCTCCTGGGTCATTCCTAGCTCGGGTAACGTGATACCCTCTGCAATACGGATTTGAGATTGCACCAGGTCGATTCTGAAAGAATTATCTCAAATTATTCTAATGAATGCATAACAACAGAAGTTATCCAAATGTTAAATTAGTTATAGAAAAATAATGGTAGGCAATTATATGACTCGATCTCCTGAGAACTAAGATAAATGTCACTCGTCTGGATAATTCAATATCGGTCAGAAAGATGGTGTTAAAGTCTGTTATAAGCACCTCTAAAAATGGAGATAAATAACTTACTTTCTAACATTTTGTTGATTATTTATGTTTTTTGGATACACGTAAATAAAATAAGTGAAAAAGAAAAAAAAACACCAACATGAAGTCCATGTCTGTTTTCAGAGCTCAGGTGACATGCAGGTCTAGTTCATGGGTCTGACGAAGCAGATACTGAAAAGTTGCGCTATCAACAGCATGGATATTTTGGTCAAGGTAGACAAAAATCCTATGTTAGTGTTTCTTTGTTTCTCTTCCAGTTATTTTATTTACCCGTATCCAAAAAAAGATTTAAAAATACCAAAATTATAAAAAGAAATTTATTTATATCTTGTTTCAGAGCTGTTTGTTACGAATTTTGATGATATTTTTGTGATCAACACTTAATTTTACAGATGAGTAACACTTATTTCAGCTCTTAGGAGGTCGAATCCTATAATTCTCATTTATTTTCTCAAACCTACTTTAACATCTAGGTAACTTTCCTTGTAGGACATCCAATGCAAAACTTACAATTCTTTAAATGTTATAAGCATGTATCAATATGAATTTATGACGAATATTGAGTTATTTAAAATATTAGTTATTAACACAGGTGGCGGCCAAATGATCTGCCAGTAACACCATGGGTGGCACCGATGACCGACGACATTGAAATTAGTTAAATCTCTTGCGTAAAAAAATATTATAGTAACACGTGTAAACACTGTAAACTTGTCAGTGCTCCTAATATCGTAACATGAATTGGTAACTCTGAGCAAGATAAATGCATAATGCATGGTAAAACAGCTCAAATAAATAATTTCATGCAGGGTGGATCATTTAACTCGATATGCGTGAATATCTTCGAAACTGTTGATGATACCAAAAAATGTTTTAAATAAAAGTTAAATTGTTTTGAGGGGAGATTAATTTAATCTAGGTAGTTGTTTGTAGGTGGATGTGTAGAAGACATATGAAGGTTTTTGGTTTTTTAAATGGGATCATACATTGTTTAATGCATTAGTCCATGCAGCTTGTCATTCGCTACAAAAAATATTAAGCTATAATAATTATACCAAAAAACCATTAGTCTAGGGGACGTTTTAATTTAAAAATTTCGAAGTGGTACTAACAATACGATGTTTACCTTTTTAAATTTCACTCGGTCTCTAAATGTCCTATCAACCCTTTCTAGTATTTCTTTTGAAATTCGTTGACATACCACTCATACCCGCATAGGATGTTAGATGACACGCGTAATACCTGGCTATACTGAAATTAAGTACCGTTTCACAATATTGAAATTGAAATATCTTCTAAATTAAGGGTTTTCTGGTATAAACAGCTTAATACTTTTTCATAATAAATGAAAAGCTGCATCGACTAATGCATTAAAAAATATATAATAACACTTAAACAGACAAATTTTATCCTAATATACCCTGCACTACTCCAACGAAAAAAAACCACTGACATTACTTCCCCCTCGAAGCCATTCAACTTTTATCTGAAACATTTTTTAGAATAATTAACGGTTTCGAAGATATCCGCAGGGATCAATTTATGTGACTCACCCTGTATATTTTACTATTCTAGTACAATTTGTATACTGAATACTTCAGTCCGCCACCACAGGGAAGAAATGGAATTGTTATCTGACAGTTAATGTGTTGATTATAAATTACTAGACTGCGAATAGTTATGGAAATCCAATTTTTTATGGATTAATTTTCGAAAATTAAAAGCATACATAAACTGAGTTTGATTATCAATTGCTCTATTACATTCAAAATAAACAAATGCACACACTATAAATATATAAACTCTATTAAATATTAAAATATACCCAAAAATGTTAAAACTTTTATTTCGTTTCTTTTTGTTATATTTCTTACACAAAGAAGATGGGTTTTTGTATTTATAGCGAATGTAAGTACAGAATATAAGAGAATGACTGAACTAATGAATAATTCCTGCCCTTAGTATTTTATTATTAAAATCTTCAATCCCTTAACAGAAGATCCAAAAAGCGGGATGAACGTACATAAGTGTATAAACTTGCAATTTAATTATAAATATACCTTTCAACCTTGTATACAATATAGATTCTAAGAATTATTATAAAAACTTACACTTGCAGAAATAAATTTACAAACGCAGGAATTAAAAAATTCATTTTCCCTATTACGGATCTTTTTTACATTACTTAGAAGCTTAATGCCGCGACAACTACTTGTGATGGCCATTACCGACGTCAGATCAGAAATAAGACGAAATTTTTATCAAAATTCATTAAATTCCTATCGAATATATATACAAATTTTATTTTATGCTGTTTGTCCATTTGTATATCCTGCGTGTGCATATTATAAAATCCATACTTTAGTAATCACTAAATCTTCTAATATCATATAAAAAGTACCAAGATATTGAAAACAACATTAAACTGTTGTACAAATAAAAAAAAACGCCCATTTTGTGATGATTAAACACATTTAACAACACGACATTTATGGTTAACTAACTTCCACTCCCGCAGATGTATTAAAATTGAGTCAACGAGTAGTGTAAACGTATAACTTGGTTACCGAAAATGCTATATTATTTTAATTCTCTTTTTCTATTTAAGCAACTGTCAAGTCCGTCGAATCAATTACCTAATACAGAATTACACATTTTAAAAGATAACGGTAATTACACTTACCCAGTAATTTCTTCTGTCACTGTATGCTCGACTTGTAGCCTAGCATTGACTTCAATGAAGTAGAAATGTCCGGATTCGTCGGCCAAAAACTCAACAGTGCCTGCATTTGAGTAACCAACGTGTTTCGCCAATCTTACAGCATAATCAGTCATTTTATTCCTGATTTTGGGGTCCAGACACGGTGCAGGCGCAATCTCAACGACCTGCAAATTTTGATCAAAGTTAATGAAGTTTATCGAATACGTCTATTAATATACATATTATTTCTCGCGACTGAAAAAAATTTACACTTTCAAAGATTTTCCAGCAGCTTATTACTTATACATTTCGAGACACCAGTAAATCGTAGTACGATTTGTAATGTGTAGAATAAGTAAAGTGAATAGCAAGTAGATTGAGTAGTGTGAGTACAGCGAATAGAGCGAGTAGAGCGAGTAGGGCGAGTAGAGAGAGTAGAGAGAGTAGAGAGAGTAGAGAGAGTAGAGAGAGTAGAGAGAGTAGAGAGAGTGGAGCGAGTAGAGAGTACAGAGAGTAGGGAGAGTGGAGCGAGTAGTGAGAGTGGAGCGAGTGAATCGATTGGAGCAAGTGGAGCGAGTGGAGCAAGTAGAACGAGTAGAGTGAATAGATCGAGTAGAGTGGGTAGACTGAGTAGAGGCAAACCACAAGGCGAAATAGAATTACAGAATTTTTTTATGAGTTTCCATTGTTGACAATATCAAGTTGGATAATTGTATCTACAAACGTGTGTAGTACTTAACACAATTTTGTCAATCACTAATTGTTTTTATTTATAGTAATTTTCGTACAACCGACATTGTATGCATTTTTGCATATCTTCAACGTAACAATAACAAATACACTGTAAATAGAACGAAATGCATAAAACATGTCCAGAAAATGTATCCTGTACATGAAAGTAATATTGTATGTACACTGTGTGTATGAATGAAATAATGAATTAAATATATATTTTTCCAATACATTTTGTTTGTCTATACATATATTGGAGATAGAATATGACATTTAGGACTCTGGTGACCTGATATTTAATTCGGGGGTTTCGAGAGTTAATGATTACACATATTAACACTAGTATAATATTCGTAACTTTGCACAATAATTTAATATAAATTCAGAATTAAAATACAGCGAATGCAATGGAAAATAAATGACACTATAGTACCGCCATTATTTCATTCAAGTAGAATCAGTACGTAATAGACAGACATATTATGCAGTCGTATTCAAAAGCGTTCGATGAATTTCTATGTTCGTTTTTCTCGTAAACGACGCTTCTGTACACCCTGTAAATGATTTATAACGCTTTGACAAGCACGTCACCCTGGAATTTTTTAATCGCATCTCTTTTTCTAGAAACATATACAACACGGTTTTGCAATCTTGACCTCGTTTCGTGAGAAACATGTACGTGCAAGCATTTCAGGACACCGTGGACGATATTTATACGTTTCCAAATCTTTAAAAAAAGCGGCAGTACTATAAATAAAATTATTTTTACTTATCTAATTTGCAGTGTGTACAAATTTATTTATAATGATATCAATACCAGCAGTAAATGATACTATGTCTTCGATGTAAATCATATTTATGTAAAATACACATGAACCAAAAATGATGAAAAAATTGTCTAAAAGCAACAACCGTCATTATTTCTGCAAATAACTGAAAGGATTTTCAAAGGTATTTCAACGAGAAATAGTATAAAATAAATTATTAAATACTTTAAGTATTAATATAAACATTTAAGTGAAAGAAAAGATACGTTTCTGTTAAACTTCTCGAAGAAATATTAAAGCAGGAAGGATTAAACTAGTTTGTTTTCAAGGAAATTCGTACGCGATTATTACAAGATGGCTTCAACTCGTTGAGTAAATATTTACCACCGATATTTTATTAGTACTTTTTCAATTAACATCATATTCTTCCTTTTCACTTTCTTTACAATTTCTTTCTATTTTTCAGTTAGTTTCACTGTACAAGTTATAAACAACTATGATAGTTTTAGCTAACAAAAAACTCTTGAACATGCTTCTAGCTGTATTTTGCTTTTAAAGTTTTTTCTTTTAGAGATTATTCTATTGAACCAAAGGATTAATCATCTAATAGGGCGAAGTCTATTTAACTGGGTAGATGCTATAAAATTTTCTAATGGAAATAGTGTAATTTTTTCACAAGTATGATAGAACGTAATGAAAAATTTCTATATACTTAGTCATACGTTTTGTCGGTATTTCCCAACGAAAACAGAAAAAACGACAAGTACCCTGAACAGCAAATACATTCAACCCACACATGGGAAATAGTATATGTCCATTAAAATTGAGATATTTCCTTTATTTAGATTTATCCTTCGTCCGGTACAAAAGGTAACGAGGACACTATGTCCGAAATGCTACGAACTTTCCGAACGATCCAATAATACAGACAACCCCCATATAACATGGCATTCCCATAGCACGATTTTGTTCTAACCCCGTTGTAACCCTGCAAGCCCATCTGTAAACAGAGGCAAATTCCATTATCTGGATAAACAGTTTCGAATAACAAATAAAAGATAAAACATGTACATCGCCATTTTTAAGTGATTAAACGTGGAACTTCCAGTCTGTATATTGAAGTAATACTTCTCGAATAAATAAGCACTTGGTAAACAATTATTTAACCTCATTAATTATTTAATGTTGAGAATGACGCTATTAAATACTGCTGTTAGATACGCTCTCAGATAGTGCTTTTCACTATGTATTATTCGGAGAAAATTGTGTCTAACTCTGCACGGTTAAAGAATTGAAGAAACAGTCGAATAGTATAGTCAGTCTAATAAGTACGTAACAGGCAATATTTTTACCTGGGCGCAGCTATCAAAAAATTCCTATGAATTCAGGTGGCTTGACCATTCCTCAACGACGTTTGCATGTCAATACGTTGTCCAACATCTTTCTCTGACAATGAGTAAATATCGCCATATTGATCGAATTTAGCGAATCAGTTTCTTTAAATTCTACATTTTTTTTTCGAAGCTTTCATTTCATATATCCATACACATTTTCAATGGGGTTCGCGTTAGGTAACTATGAAGCACAATCTAATATCTCGATACCATTTGCGGTTTTCCACTCCATACAGCGACGACTCCAATATTTAGGGTCATTATCTTCATCCAATATCGATTTTTCCTTTCAAACCATTTCTCAGCTGACTTTAATAAACTCTCTGATAAAATTTTATCATTTTTGTCGCGTTCAAGTTATTCGTAAATAGCGATAAAGTCCTAAATCCCTGTTTGGGAAAGCACCCCCAAAACGTGCACATTTTCAGGGTGCTTGATAATCCGTTGATTAATAGAACTTCGCACGCAAAAAGAAGCTCCATAGTAAAAAATTACATTTTCCCAATTCCGGTCGATACTTTTGTGTGTTCAAACATTCTTTAAAAAAAATACTTACTGCTTCGAAACTTGTCGCTTATACAGTACTCATAGTTGAAAACTTTGTTTTCCTTTCGAAGGTCGGACCATTACTGAAAATTTACCTACAATGCGTCGTAGAGGAAGGGTCAGGCACCCTGAACTCATCGGAATTTTTACGATAGCTGCATTCAGAGAAGAATTTTTGCCAGTCACGTACTTATTAAACAGACTGTACGATATTCCTGCAAGACAGTTTCGATCTGACACAGTTAAAGAAATTGTTTAGAGCATGTATACAGGGTTTTTAATAGGGACTTTGTGTTTTTATAAGGACAATTTGGATGTGGTGATAGTTTTGTCATTCTGTTTTTTGACATATGTCAAGTACAAGGTCTACAATTCATTATAATGTCTTCAATTTCTGGTAAATCTGTGAAAACTACATATCTCAAAATTTTCGAATTCTACAGTCAATTGGCCGCCTATATCGTGTGATTTAACGCCGTTAGACTATTTCTTATGAGGCTATGTGAAAGATCAAGTTTATGCAGATAATCCATAATCCATTGAAGCCTTGAAAACCAACATCCGACGCGTAATTGGTGAGATAGAGCTGCCATTATGCAAAAATGTAATGGGAAATTTTACCAAAAGGATCAACGTCTGTAAACGTAGTCGTGGTAAACATTTGTCCGATATTCTTTTTGATTCATAAATTGTAGACTTTCCACATTATATATCACTAAAGAAATACAGAACTTTCATGCAAAATGTGTGTTTTATTTAAAATTTAAGAACAATGTCCCTGTTGAAAAGCCCTTTAGTTTTGTTAGTTCTTGGAACCTAATCCTGTTTGTTGTATCTACGTATACGTACCAGTTCTTAATTTCGTATAACATAATAATGTTTGGGGACCTAGTAGTAGTAGTAGGTACAACGATCTCCCGGGAGGGGGGAAGTGCGATTTCCCCCCCAAGGCCCAACCGTGGCTCATGGCGCCGGTGGCTATCACACAGCCCCCGCCACGTTAGCAGGGGGGCTGCCGTGGGCATTACCCGGGGCTATTATTTCCCCCAGTTTTCCAACCCGACCAACTTTTTTAGGCCCGGGCCACATGGAGGCGAGGAAGTACTCGCCGGGGGGCGGAGAGTCACTAGGATCGTCCCTTCCCTACCTAAATGAGTGTCTATGGAATATGGTCGTCGGGGCAACCGATCCTTCGTCTCCAAAAGTGAGTACCGGCTCACTCTTTGCTTCACCCACAGACCGAGTCTGTACCAGGGGTGGAATCATCGTGCTTGCGTACGTTCCATCATCGAGAGAGAGCTGTGTCGCCTGTTTCAACCCCCTATCGTACTACCTGCCTATGTCCCGAATATTTCAGAAGCCCCCCCTCCTCTGATACCCCTTACAAATCCACCACCCCCCTCAAGGACAAGGAGAGAGTCCCGGGACTCCGATAGAAATACATGGGGAGGCCGTTCTAGCCGACCTCAAGGAGAGGAATTTGGGGACCTAACTACTATGTTATGTGGAGGATATCTATAGTACTTTTTTCTGGAGATAAATAATTGTACTGTAAAAAATGCAGCTGTGGTTTCCTTGTACTGACTTTTTGATGACGACGTTGCACGGAACAATCGCGCTCATAAAGATGCACAACATTGCCAGCTTTATCTCCCAACAATTGAACCTCGATGTGCCTTGGTCTTTCGATGAACTTCTCAATGAACATGGCTCCGTTCCCGAAAGCGGCTGCCGCCTCTGACACCGCACGATCGAACATTTCTCGTACTTCTTCCATCTGCTTCACGACCCTCATTCCTAGAAAAATACACAGAACATTCAACTGATTTTTACATTTACTGTTTTTCTGACGGAACAAGCCCAACTGTACAAGTAGGCCTTCAAATTATGATTACGTTGGGTAAACTCGGCATAGTCCGCGATACAGTAAATCATCGGTGAGTGTTCGAAAACTCCTCGGTACTAACAATGAGTCGTTCCCAGGTGTAACGCTGACTATTTAATGAGGTCTAGCACAGTGATAGAGCTTGGGATTCTGAAGCTAATAATATTTGTTTTAGCCGCACGTGGCCATTAGTTTATGAAATATTTAATGTTCAGTGCCGAGAAGCTTTCGAACACTCATCGAGGATTTACTGTACTGTTACTGTGTGATACTTTTTCATTCGTCTCTGACACGAAATTACTAGGACCAATTTAGTTCAAACAAAATTGAACGCTGTTGATGTTGTAGTTATGGAATGAGAAAACTTGTCTCTTCCAGGAGAGCATTATTTGTGTAATTTTTCGGGCTAATTGTGGACGATTATTTGTTTATATATTATATGTTCTTTAGAAGATAAATAGAACATCCGAAATGCAAGTATGTATGCGATTTTTAGCAATTTAACAAGATTTAGAATTATCCTACAGAAAGGCATTAGTACTATTTTTGCTTATAAAAAACAACGTGAATTCTTATTTTTTTGTGTCTGAGCCTGCGTTTTTTTATTGCACTATTTGAGAAAAACTGAAGATATATACAAGAAACAATGTTTCCTTATGTCTCAGACATCTATCATGAGACTATCGACTATCAACGAAACGATTCTTTATTTTTGGACGGTAACACGGTTTCCATGCGTCGTCAGCGGTGAAATCCTCAGTGTTAATGTTAATGGAATCTTAATAACAAAAAAATTGGCAAACGTAGTACCAAATAATAATATCAATAATATATACAACAATAAATAAGTCACTAGTGAACATGTCACGACTTATGACAAGAACTATCAAAGAAGGACCAGAATGTTTCGTGAAAATTCAATTTCTGTATTTTTTTGATGAAATATACTTAAAAGAATTCTGTTAACCTATTATTTGTTTGTATGATGCCTGATCTATCATTCTAGCAAAATTCATTGCTAATCTGTTACGATTCAGTCGAATGGATATTTCTGAATGAAATTAATACACTAATTAAATACACTAACTAACTTAATTAATACATTAATTTAAGATTGTACACAACACTGAATATAATTTACATTTTCTCTGCAATGTGCAAAATTCATAAAAAATCGGGATATTTCATAATTCCCTTTTTAACGCTTTTCCTTTTTCTGCGTTTAGTAGCATAAGTATCCAGTGACTTATGAACCGCAGTGTGTATGTAAACTTAACTTAATAAAGCAATTAATTAATACTTATTACAGTTCTGATATTTACTAACTATTCCAAATCACACTGTACCTAACTTTCAAATGAACTGAAAATTCTATGTAAATATCTAATTGCTGATCCATCCGCCTTTCCATATCACCCTAAATGCGTTTTGGGCCACCATATTTAAAATACTATAAATGCGACGATCATTACCTTGTCTTACACCCAATATGTATTTGAAATGATAACTTACAGTTTCCTTATACTTTCTCCACAAGATAAATATATTTTAGAAAAATTAAGAATGTGATTGGGTTGAAAAAGATTTTAGGGTGAATACTGTTAAAGAAATGAAAACGTGGTTGGGTCGAGAAAGACTCGAAAACTGTAGTACGGTTGAGAACTTATGTTATTCATTCAAATTTGAAACAAAACTTGAGGTTTTTCATTGTTCACACGATGTTGATAAAATTCAAAATTTTATGAAAAATTCAAAGTTCTTACCTCTACCGCCTCCTCCGTAAGCGGCTTTGAAAATGACCGGGAGTCCATGTTTCATACAAAATTCTACTGCTTCATCGGATGTGGTCACTGGTCCATCTGTTCCCGGAACAATTGGCACTTCAGCTTCTATGGCGGCTTGTCTTGCAGCGACCTGATTTATTAAGAGAAAAATATTACGTTTAACACTGTGAACAAATAATCTTTTTGACATACTGATCTAAATATGAACTCAACATGTATAATATACCAGAATAAACATGAAATCTATAGAATCGATCTATGAAGGACATTGCTTAAAGGACAGATCAGTGTAACAACTTTGAAAAACAGAGTTTTTGTTCTGTTTTTCATTTTTTTAACTTTATTTTCTACTTTTCTGATATCAACCAGAATTTTTTGAAATTAATATTTCAACATTGTAGAAAAATTTTACAAAATTATCTGTGTATTAAATACTGCAAGTGAATGAACGTGAACGTGAACACAATATATATAATTGATTGATTGACGATCGAGAAGCTCTTTAATGTCAAACCTTACGAGTGCTTGATAAGCTTACAGATAATGTATAAAAATAGCAATTTTATTGATTTTTACCTGTGAAAAATATTGAATCAACTTTATAGATAAAAAATAATGGTTCTAAAGGACAGTGTCAAATTAAACATATGACCTTCTATCGTTTATGTATTTTATTCATACATATGAAATATATAATATGAATTATAGCAGTTTTAGTAGCGCTTGAGTAGTAATATACAGTACATAATTAAGTATTTTATAAGTTTCAGGGGATCAATCTACAATAGATGTTTCGAACCGTAGTTGATCTGACGATCTTTTAGGTTTATGTGAATTTGCACTTACTGTGCCGACGATTAACACTAGAACTACCAGCACTGAATGTATACTAAATTAAATTGTATAATTTAGTAATATACTCAATATAATAGTACACTTTAACTTAATATAGTACAATAAAAAACGTGTAGTAAATTAGAAGCCAATGTAAATTTCGCCTACCAACACTAGTATATAATAATTTCAGTAATCCTAAAATTAGAAACCCGCAATCCATTATTTTGATCGCTTTGGTAGTTCTGTGTTAAACGAACTCACTCGAAGGACAACACTGCCCCAACGAAGGGACAACTAGAACTTTGATTTTAATCTTTTATTTTATTAGAACTGTGAAACTTAAGATACAGGTTACAAAATACGATGATTGTGGAAATACGGGTGTATGACCTAATGTTTGCCTTACTGACTGATTGTGAGGATCCTTACCAGTGTGTATCGTACTGAGTGTCTGTTTGCGTCCATCAACTACTGTCACACGTTCACTATCGCGTGCATAATATGAAGCATGTCAGAAAAATAATGGGACTGATAACGTAAAAATGTATATTGTCAAGTTAACTACAAATTAACATTGCCCCCTTCAACATAGTTCCCTTACGAAGCCGTGGATCGCTGGAGACGTTGTTTTCACTTCTTGAAATAATGCTCGAAGTCTTCAAGTGGAACTGCTGTCAGTTAAGACTGTGACAACCTATAGGGTGTTGTTTACAGTTCCAAGATTCCGACCTTGAAGTTGGGTTTTTAATTTCTCAGAAAATAAAATAGTCACACGGACTCAGAACAGGGGAATGAAAAAGATGTGGTACCATTGGAATACCTTTATTGGTCAAAAATTCATTTACTGAAAGATTTCTTGAATGTTTTATCACAACACTTAATGCCACATAGCACTCTCTGTGAACGAGCTTTGACCAAGACGGATATTTCTGGTCTGAGCCCATGTAACTATTTTTTCTCCCAAAAATAAAAACCCATTTCAAGGGTCTGAAAGCAGTTTCAGTTGAAGGCTATCCTAAAGAAGATAATCTGGATTTGTAGATAAACAAGATAGCAGTAATAAACATCATGAACGAAATTACAACAGTCTTGCAAATTATGCAAATAATAAGCTCTTCGTAACAACGCAGCACTAACATTTTGTTAATAAGTGATATCAGTTGAATGCCTATGACCGCCAACAGCATACTCTGAACAAAATGTCAAAACGTTTATAGGCGACAATAGCAGCGAAAGTGTTAATTGTTATGGACAAATGGTCCATTATTGTCTTCCGAATAGGAAACTATTTGTCCTACATGAAACTTCGATAAAAATTTACCAATCTTTTCGGTGATATTGTGACGTATCGTCGTAACCCTCACCTATGACACTAGTTATGGCATACTTATATTGTTAAAAAATAGAAGGGTGGGGGGCGCAAGTTTCTACCAATAATTCTCATCTACAGCAACCTTATTCTGTATAAAACAACTGAGGTATAAATATTACAAGCTTGTTATTTGGGTATCCCATACCCGGTGTAACAAGGACATTAGAAAAAGTGATTTCTGTGGAATATAAAATCAAGGTAAGTATTGCCTTCATTAATTATTGTTCCGTCGTACAGGTATAGTATACAGGTATAGCTTCATAGCAGCGGCTATTATTTTAGAACAAAACTCCAATTTAGCTATTCAACCTCCCGTAATAATGTACGCGTTTATTTCTTGTCCGTTTCATTTCAATAGCGTACCTTTTTAATCTTTTCGACACCCTACAATAGACGAAGGTTCCAACATTTGGTCGGCAGCTGGTCCCGGTCGTGTTATACCACCGAGGCGAAGAACAATATCGCCATAAACTTGTACCGTTGGGTGACTCCCGCAACCTCGGCGCGGTCAAGCCAAACTTGGCCACGTGCTTTTAATTATTTTCAGGCATACGTTTTTTTCCTAAAGGAACCTTTTCCTCCACCACGAACCTCGGGAAATCCGAGGTTTATCCCTACTCCTTCAGAGTTGAGCCAATAGGAATTCGTGATTTTTGAAAACGGTATTGACAAAGCATATCGCCAACGAGGGTGAAGCGCGACGTCTGAAGCGCGCCCGAACTTTTGTAATCAGACTCAAACCAAAACTCACCCGGTGAACATCACACACACACGCACACAAACACACAATATTGTAAATACAGTCATTAAAAACCAATCAAAGTGTGCTTTATTTTTGGTTTCACTTCTAAGGATCGTGTAACGGTTCGGCAATTATTTAGATTGACAAATGTCGAGTTCCGTAACGTATTCAGGTCCGTAACATCTTTGGGTCCCGAATGATATTTTCGAGAACTTTTCCGTCTAACGGCAAAAAATTATACTATACAATACGATGCCATACTCAATCTTCAGGTTCATGATATGAACTATAAATACTAAATAAGTTAACGATTCCAAATGGAATCCTATGGTTGGACAGGGTTAATAATACAATCTTCAGTACACATTTCTTCGTACGTTATGTTTTTATTAAATAAAATAAATAAAATGGCAGTATTAGGGACATTTAATCTACCATACAACATACAGGCATATATAATATTATTTTACATTATAATTTAAAATAATAATATATATACCTGTATGTTGTATGATAGATTAAATGTCCCTAATACTGCCACTTTATTTATTTTACTTAATAACCGAATATGTTACGGGACCCGACATCTGTCGGGATCCCGGCCGCTCTTGCCCGAGTTGTCCCGACCCGACCCGAGTTTCGGGAATCCCGCGATTTCGGGTACCCGCACACCCCTGGTGATAAGTGAAGGTTAATCATTCGATACAAAAATATTTGCTTGGGAAAACAATAATTTTAACAGTGAATTGTACCTTATCTCCCATTTGTTGAACCACTTTCGGACTGGGACCGATGAATCTGATGCCAGCATCGATTACTGCTTGTGCGAAATCCGACCGTTCAGAAAGGAAACCGTAACCCGGATGGATGGCATCAACGTCGTTTTCTTTTGCGATTTTGATGATTTCGTCTATGTTTAAGTACGCCTGAACAGGCGGCAGCCCTCGGCCGACTATATAGCCCTCGTCGGCTTTCTGCCTGTGCATTTGCATCTTGTCTTGTTCCGAATAAATCGCCACCGAACGAATACCGAGCTCGGTACATGCTCGAAACACGCGAATGGCGATCTCTCCTGCAACATATCAAATTGTAATTATAAGTATTAACGTATTAACTGTCAAACTGGGGTGATAGGATTAATTCCTATTAGTTTATGTTTAACCCTCATTCGTCCCTCATTTTTCTAGCTTAATTTGTCCCTTAATGTTAAATTGACACATTGATGAAAGATTAACATAATGAAAAGATAAATAGTTAAATGTGCAGATTTTAAAATAAAAGTTACAGAGCCCGAGCTACATTTATCTACAGATGACAGAATAACATTATTTCTTGAAAGTAAAATGTGTCGAATTGCTACAAGGAACGTATGACGGTGAACTAAGAAATTTTCATAATTAATGGATTGTTGTACATTAACACAAAAACTACTAGCGTTCAATGTATTGGGAAAGTCAGAATTTTGATATGCCAACTAGTGACAGGAAATGAAACTACTGAAAGTCGAGTATCCATATGATCAACAATGTTAAAATAGACAGGTTGAGAAAAACCAATGCTTTTATATTTGTTGTATTATTTAATGCTTTTAAATAAATCGGTATAATAACAGTCATAATTATTTACAGAGTTATAAAAATGTACACCATGGAATTTACTCCTAGAAAAAATGAAAGTAAAATATATGGCTGTGTGTACAGCTGAAACAGTCGTGCATATAAAAATGATACTATTCGATTTTATCATTTTCGCCGACAGAAAGTAAACTTGGTAAAATTAAAAAATATATAAAATCAAATAGAAATTATTGACCGCTTCAGGGCATGAGTGAAAGTATTGAAAATGGCCAAGAATGTATCGTTGTCTATGATAGTATCCTCATTACACTTTACAAAAGACGATTTTATCCCAACAAGTAAGTATTATTGTAATCAGAAATAGAGTTGCAATATAGAGAATTGCAGAAATAGAGTTGCAAATTTACCTAAGTTATAAGTCATACCAATAATTCGTCCAGCTTTCAAGATATCTTTAAATTATTTATTAAAAATATTTCACCACTAATTTCATATGTATCATGTTTTAAATTTGATGTCTGAAGACAAAACGCAATGATTTCAATAACATTATTATTGTCATCTTCACTTAGTCTTCTCCAATTTAATAGGTGACCACGATTCATTATGTTTTCACGAGCAATAAAGTTTTAAAACTAACTAAAAGTTTAAAGTTACAAATTTCGTTGATCGAAACTCGTATTGTTCTTTCAATTGAAATCACAGCCTTCTGATTCCATTTTAACGCCGTTAAAAGCTAGTGTATATGTGCGGTATTTCAACTATAAACAACTATGTATAAATTTGAAGAACCAACTGTCAGTATTTTCCGTCTTACCACCAGAGGGCCAAAATCGAAGTCACGCCTCCACCGACTTTCTCAATACTAAATTAAATTGTAGAATATACAGGGTGTCCCATCAAATTGGGACAACACGCAACATGGACATTCCCCATGCAAATACAAATCGAAAAGTCCTTTACCATTTTGTAATCGGAAGTTCCATTTCCGAGATATTAGCAGTTAAACGAACTTACACGTACGCGCAGACACAGTAAAGAAGCGCACGACCCAAGTCACTGGCCTCTGCTTTTTGACTATGTCGGCGCGTACGTGGAGCCCACCGCTCAGCTGATCGTTAACTGCGAAGTCGAGTTCGTTTAACTGCTAATATCTCGGAAATGGAGCGTTAGATTACAAAATGGTAAAGGACTTTTCGATTTGTATTTGCATGAGGAATATTCATGTTGCGAGTTGTCCCGTCTTTTTGGGACTCTCTGTATGTATATTGATACGTATAATATACAAGGTGTTAAGAAAAATGTAGGACCCTTTCACAGGGTAGATTCTACATGTCAAACTAAAACAAAAATCAAGAATGACAAAATTGCGTTCGAGGCTTCGGTTTCGAGTTATTAATTGCTGAAACTATGGGTAAAATACAAGTAAAATATGTCGGATACGATGGGTTATACTACTTGCAACAAGCGACTCCCAGCAGTCCCAGCTGATTCACGGGTTCGATGCAAGAGAGAGCTATGCCACGAAATGTTGAAAAATGAGATTATTATTAATTCTGGCACCTCTGGTTGCTAGTATATCTACTATGATATAAAATACTTTCTATAAAAGCCTTAATATCTCAAATCGCTACTGTTGTGGCATGTACCCTCTAGCACTGGAACCTTAAATGAATGAAACCAACACCTCAAACAGTTAAAGAGCACGTCCATCAAATAACCCGTCACGTCAGACATATTTTACGCGTATTTCGCCCATATTTTCAAGAATTAATTAGTCGAAAAGGGAGCCTCCAACGCATTTCCGCAATTCTTGATTTTCGTCCAAGCATGGCATGTAGAATCCACCCTCTGAATGTGTCTCGCATTTTTATTAACACCCTATACGTATAATATAATATAGGATGTCTCAGCTAACTCGATGACCTCGAATAATGACTTAACGGTACACTTTACGAAAATTTGGAGGCGTGGAACTTAAATGGCATCAGGGAGCACATCTTATATGGTACGTGCGTTTTTTATGGGTGGAGGCATTTCAGAGAGTTCAAGGTCACCTTGCCTTTTTTTACCTGAAGGACCAATTTTTTGTACCATAGATCGATAGATTATCAAATTCTGAGTAAGAGTGTGTTGACCTTCATACATCCTAAACCTAATAGTTAACGAGATATTTACAAAATAATCACTGTATTGAAATCGCTGTATTGAAGTTGAGGGGCATTAGTTCGAGCACCTATAATTTCCCGTTGGTAAGTACGTATTAAAAATTATTTTGTAAATATCTTGTTAACTATTAGGTTAGGTTTAGAACGTATGAAGATCAACACATTTTTACTCAGAATTTGATACTCTATCCATCTGTGGTACAAAAAATAGGTTATTCCGTTAAAAAAAATCGAGGTGACCTTAAAATCTCTGAAATGCCTTCACCTACAAAAAAAACACGTACCTTATAAGATGTGCCCCTTGATACCATTTAAGTTTCACGCCTCAAAGTTTACCTTTAAGTCATTATTTGAGGTGATCAAGTTAGCTGAGAAACCCTGTATAACATAATATAGTATACACTGTGTAAATAGTAAAGGTCAACATAATTCGTGCCAAAAGCACCATATGTTACAATTTCGATAATGATAACACAAAAAATTTGAAATCCGTCATTTTTACAGATTTGGTGGTTCTAGTGTTAAAGCGACGGTCACCCATATCCAACATTATGAAAACAAAAAAACTTAGTGTTAATCACCAGTGATCGTCATGAGGATGGTTGTGTTAAATAGGAAAACAAAGTAGTGTGTTGTTTTTCTCTTATGTTTTTGTTTTACTTTTTATCCGTCAAATCTTATCTCTCACACTTTTGAAGATCAAGTCGCACAGCTGTCGTGTGATTCTTAAAAATAAAATAAAAGGTAGAGGACAAATTATTACCCCTTTCACCGTAGAAAGGTGGATGTTGACATCATGAGCGACTGTAGATCGTTTTTAATCATATTAAAAACTGTATTATACTCAACATTCCGTCCTATAAATTAATACCGGATTTACAACCGGTTACAATGACGCTATAAGGTTACGGTTAGAGTGGAAGCGTTCTTTGACGAATTAATTTTCTGATGAATACGTCAGAATAATCAAATAAATACATTTTTATAGGCGTTGTTTCTCTGCATGCGTTCCGTTACACAGATCCGCCATAAATTTGTCACAGCAAATTGATCGTTCGAATGAGCTCTATTTCTCCGTATAGTAATAGTGTATGTTTCGATGAACTATCGTTTCAACGAACGACGCGTCACGATAATTTAAAAAAATGAATTCTTACAAGAATAGATACAGAGTGAATGCACCAGTAACTGATCACGTACCAATGAATGAACACTATACATGTATTAAAACGAGTAAACAAAGTTATTAAAATAAGCAAATAATTAATTATTGTTTTTTTTTCAATTCCTTGTTTCATATTGTACCAAAAATGCATCTAAACACAAAGATAACATCGAAATATCATATACAAAAGAAAATAGAACAAATAAAAACGAAAAGAAGGCAAATGTACTGGCTCACAGACAGACATTCCCAGCTATCTGCAGAAAACAAACTGTTAATATATAAGATGATCGTCAAACCTATATGGACGTATGGCATCCAGCTATGGGGAACAGCAGCTAGTAGTCACGTTAAAAAGATTGAAGCAGCACAGTCCAAAATATTACGCACAGTACTCAATGCTCTGTGGTACATCTGTAACGAAGCCCTTAGAAATGATTTTGTAATCAAATCGTTTAATGGGAGAGTATCTACATGCTAACTGTACCCAAACGACAAAACCCTTTACCTCATATTTGTAAAAAAACAAATTGTAAATTAACCGAGGGATTAATAAAAAAAATTCTCACGCCATTGCATTGGTTATAAATGTTCATTTACTTAATATTTTTCACTCACTGGTAAAATCTGTATTTTTTCTTTTTAATGTAATTAATTAGATTTTTCCAATTTGTCAAATTGAAATCTATACAGTTTAAAAAAAGGTATAGATATTGAAAAATCTAATTTCCATGTGCCAAATATTTATTAATATTATTGTCATTTAAAGTTTGACGTGAATAGTTACAAAATCTCTTAAGTATTCATTCATTGGGGCGTTTTAAATATTAATATAAAATATATTTATTAAATGGAATTTCATTTCAGTAGGTTCAAAAATAGAACCAAACTACATTTGTTTATATTAAAACGTGTATTCAGTTGTACTTTGATTATTTTTATGTCTTTAATACATAAACATCCATAGTCTAGTTATTATTATGTGCAAGTAGGTACTATGACAACAAATCAACATTATACTGCTGTCATACAGTCCATTCCATGCATTATAAATTCTTTAATGTAATTATTTGCAAGTTATTAATGCAGAGCTATGTTAAACAGTGTACACTTCCTTGATCTTTTAAAGGTTACTTCAAATTAAGATTCTCATGTTACTGTG